AGATTTCATATTGCATCCTTAGCATATCCAGACTTATCTTCTCCTTGAGTTCACTTGCAATATTGAGACAGGTTATGATAGTTCTGAAGAAATCAGATCGTCGACAAAGAGCATCAACTACTACATTACTTACATTTGGTGATCTTAAGCTCAAAGTCGAACGTATCAATGATAGCTGACCATCGCACTAGCTTGTGAGATAATCGTAGTTGTGTCTCGAGCCACTTCAAGGTTTCATGGTCTGAGTAGACCTTGAAGTGTCGTCCTAGAAAGTAGTGCTTCCATGTAGTTACCGCATGCAACAAGCATACAATTCTCTCTCGTACGTTGAGTTAGCCAGTTTTTCAGAGGGTAGGCGACAAGGCATGAATTCAATTGGTTTGTAACCCATCCCATCATCTTGCTGGAAAACTGCCCCGATCCCATCCGGACGTGCATCAGTTGGTACGACGAATGTGAGTGAAGGGTCAACACAGGATAGTGAGTCAGCGCATACTTTTAACCTTTTGAAAGAGGACTCACAGTCTTTGTCCCATAACCAGATGGTTTCTTTCTTTAGCAACTTATGTATCGGAGCAACTATAACTTTGTGTAATAGCTCGCAAATCCTAGAAAGGAGCAAGTTCAATTATAGTCTTCAGTCTGGGCCAATCTCTAATTGCAACAATTGCAAATTTTTTGGGCCTCAACCGTTCCTTCATCGACTATATGACCGAGGTACAAAACTTCAGCCTTAGGGTTCAGTTTGAAATTACCTCCTCGTAGATTTTGCAGGACCATTCATAGGTGTTTCTCACGATCTTCCAATGTCTTACTGTAGACCAAAATGTCATCGAGATATACAACTATGAATTGATCAAGCCATTCAGGAAACAATTCATTCATTGACCTTTGAAAGGTTGCGGGGGTGTTAGTAAGAACAAAAGGCATGACCACGAACTTGTAATGACACCATACTTGATCCTTAGGAGCCACCTCAATCTGATGGTAGCCTGACTTCAGATCAAATTCACTGAAGTGCTTGCAACCTTGTAGTTGAACAAGGAGGTCATCGATCAGAGGAAGCGGTTCTGCAGTTTTCACTGTTACCGTGTTCAGTCATCGGTAGTCAATACAAAGTTTGAGTTCTCCTTCCTTCTTGGGCACGAAGAGGAAAGGGGCCTTGTAGGGAGAAGAGCTCGGTCGAATCCACCCTTTTTCAATAAGTTCCTGCAAATGTTTCTTCGACTCTTCTAAATCCGGCGGGGACATACGATAGATCAGTCCTTTGGGAATCTTACTTCAGGAAACAATCTCAATCGCGTGCTTGATTGTTCTTTCGGTTACTCCTGTTGGTTTGGTTTGGTTTGCAGGTCCTTATATTCTTCGAGTAGTTTCTCAATAGTGGAGGAGGATAGGGAGTAGAGCACTCACCCACGTTCTTAATGAGTATCATCATCACCTCTTGTGCCAACTTCCTCGTCACCATACTTCGAAAGGCGGGTAGAAAGACATAGATGAGTCCGAACCAGATGAAACAGTTTGATTAATTAATTTTTCTTTTTTGTGATGACCCGACCAAACACGGACTGAGACACACAGTTGATTTCTGAGTTTTGCTCACGGACTGAATGCCTTGCTGAGTTTCCCGCTTGCTACTAAGTTCTGCATGTATGTGTGTGTGCACGTTTGCTGGTCTGCATGTCTGTCAGAGTGCTGGTTGGCTTGAGTGTGTGTGTGACCCGCAAGGGTACTTGTCCGTTCGTTGGGCCCTCAGGGCCGGTACTTGCCTGTGGCCGTGACATTGAGGGATTGCAGCGGGGGGAAACACTCAAGTAGCAGGTAGGCCGGTACCACACCCTGACGAGGTAGATGTGCTGGTACTGGAGGCCGAGCAGAAGAAGACAAGAGTGCCATTTTGAGAGGCCCAGTAGTTGTAGGCTAGGTCTAGGCAGGTACCAATCCAACCAGTCTGAGTCTAGGGCCTGTACGGGCAATATCAGAGTCTGCAATGATGTTTCCCTCCGAAAGGGAGGAGGTACCGGTTGCTGGGAAGGCCGAGCGGCCTGGAAGTCACTGCCCAAGAGGCAAGCAGGCCGCTATATCTCCAGCCCGGGCGAAGAGCCCAGCCTCATTGTCGGTGTGCAAGTTTGGCGACACATGGTTGGAGAGCAAGAGCAGCGCTGCTGGGGAAGGAGCAAGGACATGGAGGAGGAAGAAGAGCAGGAGGAAGGGGGAGCGCCAGACGTACTTACCTGGCTATGGCGGCAGCCATCTTCATCACCTTGGTGGGCGCTGCAGCAGGGAGACCCCAGCTGGGGAGAGCTACACCAAGAAGCTTCGAGGCAGAGTCAGGCATGGCGGCCTGAGCTAGAGCAGCCATAGCTGCTTTGCGTTGTCCTTTGCACAGCAGGGCGAGGCCCAAGTAGTCCGCCATAGCCTCGGCCTATGAGAGGGAAGAGTGAGGGAGGCGGCCATGGCTATGGTGGACCTCGAGTGATACCTGCAGTAGAAGAGGAACTCGGACATGATTCTGGATCAGCCATTCAACATTGTACTATCATTTCTTGTATGAATAAGAGAGGAGTAACGGAGGAGGAGAGTGTTGGGCGAAGAAGAAGAGCTTTGTCATTTGTCTATGCTGGTGTACATCATCTTCTTCTTCTTCTTTCTTTCTTCTTCTTCTTCTTCCTACCCTCTCTCTCCTCTCAAGTTCATTCATTTCTTTCTGCAATTGGACGTCATTATACTATCTGATCAATGTGTATCTCGAAATTGGCCAGGATCATAACATTTTCATCTTTTAACCGTTCTTATACTTAGCTTAGGGACCGACTTCCTCATGCCAGTCCATTCCCAAAATTAAGTCAAACGGTAACTTCTTCTCCACAAGGAAGGTGATCTCATATTAATATTTTCTTTCCCTTCTTTGCGCTGAAGTAGCATTTCACTTTGTCGGCATAGTGGGACACAATTATGGTGCTTTGATCTGCAAGCATCGATGTGATGGGGTTGGATAATTCTTTAACCTCCATTCCTAAGTGCATCTTCTTAATCACTTTCTCATAAATGTAGGTTCTTGTTGAACCCGGATCAAGCAAAGCACCCACAAGTATCCGTGCAACGTCCAAGTCAGCAAGCATCAATTCACCCTTAGACTTTACTTTCTTAGCCCATGAACTTCGTAAAGCAATTAATTCATTCCCAAGTTCATCAAGGGACTCACCCAGTGTGTCTGAACACATTACTCTTTCAGGGTGATCTAGGTGAAGGGCCGAAGAAGAGCCATCCTCTGCCTTCGGAGCTGGACGGTTGAAAGGGGGTCGTGGTGCCGATTGAACTAAGCCTTCCAGCTTAGTAGGAGCAGATGCTACTCTCACTGGCTGCTCGCTTTTGGGTTCTCAAGGGACACCATGCGATGGTGGGTCCCTCAGTGCCACACTTTACACACCGAGTCTTGTCCATTTGATCCTGCCAGGCTTCCTGGGAGATGCCTATCCTTTCCCAAGGCTTCCCAGAAACAATGCCAGGATGAACGGGAAAGGAACACGGCCAACTCTTCCTTACTCCTCCAGTAGTGCCTCCCTTGTTGGCCACGACAGCTGTGACGTCTCCATTTCCAGACTCACCGCTGTTACTCGTCTCACCCTCGTTTCCCTCGAGGGGCTACCTCTCCATGGGCTCATCATAAAAAATGACAAGGAGTTGGTCCTGCCGTTTTTGTCTTCATAGAGTTGTTTAACCACTCTGTTGCCCTGCCTTCACCACAGGGGAATACGCACCTTTAACCTGTGAGGTCATTTGTTTTCTTTGTAGCGCTAGCTCCCTGAACTGTTGATAGTTACACTTACCGGACTTCGCTTCACCGACCAACTGTCCCCTGATAGGCTCAGGTAGCGCCTGGGAAGTAGATCTACAGCACCTGGTCATCATGCATGTTAAGGCCTAGTACCTGCAGCAATCTATCCACCTCCCTTGAGAGCGCTAAGGTCAATGCACAACATTCCTTCATTAACTGAACTATTGACCATAGTGATGATCGATTGTCCATGACAGAGTAGTAATTCAGGTTTCTGAGTATTCTCTGATTGGTTTAAGTATTTAGCCTATCCTTCTTTTTTTTTTTTTGTCCTTCCATTTTCCGGCCCATCTTCCCTCTCTTTGAGTTGGCAAAATGAAATCATCTTTATCCAGTGTGCAGATCACCTGGCCTGTTACTTGCTTTGAGGAGATGACCAGCTCATCTCCTCGCTGTCCATGTTTCTTCTCTTCTTTCCTTGGTGCCACTCACTCATGCAAACCTCTCTGGCTCCCCCCTTCCCCCGCCCCCCCCCCTCGTGCACCCCTCTCCCTAGCTCATCTACCCACCTAACGTCTTCCCCCAAGCCCAACACACGCTGATCAGGAATGCACACAAGCTAATCAATCTTGCAGGTTCTTTACAGTCATGATTACATCTTTGTTGGACTTGTTAATGGTTACGTTTGTTTGGACAGTGTTTCTTCTTGCCCACTCTGCCCCTGCCTTGTCCCCTGTCCAGCATCCAGACGACCCGGAAGGGGAACCAGGCGGGGGCACAGTGGGGGAGAAGAAAACAGACGACGCTGTCAGCAAGGGGACGACCCTGAAGATAACAGCAACAGGACGATCCTGTCACAGTGAGGGACAACCCTGTCTCAGCAACGGGATGACCTTGTTTCAGCAAGGGGCGACCCTGTTTCAGCAACAGGACGAGCCAGCAGGGCAATCCTGAAAGTAACAGCTTGCGTGAATGGCTGGCTCGTAGCAAGCATACCGGTGTCTGCTGAAACCTTTGTTCTTTCTGTTCAAAGGGGGTATAAATCATAATGTTATTTTATCCTCCCATCTGTTTCTAGTTGGATTCAAACTTATGAGCTGTTTATTAACAGTTACGTGTATGGGTACCGTGCAGCTGCATCGTCTGCTGACTTCTGATGACCTTTGTCCTTGGCCCGTCACATATGTTTTTGTGACAATGATGATGATGATGTTGTTTTCAGAGCTGCCTCTGTACCTGATCTTGGGAATAGTCTGCGGTATCATCTCGATCATTCTCACTCGGCTGATTGCGATTTCAACAAGGGTATTCGACTTCCTTCGGGAGCGTATGGGAGTTCCACTTTCTGTGACTCCTGCGATGGGCGGTCTGTCTGTCGGCGTTATTGCTCTTCAATACCCCGGTGTCCTGTACTGGGGTTTTGAAAATGTGAATGAAATTCTCCATTCTCGGGACACGGTTACAGCAGCTGGGCCGAAGCTGATGATGCAGTTGATCGCAGCAAAGATCGTTGCGACATCGATCTGCAAGGGATCGGGGTTGGTCGGCGGGATTTACGCACCTTCCTTGTTTATCGGATCGGCGGTCGGTTCAGTGTATGGGTCGCTCGCAGGGGCTGCAGTTAATGCTGCCATCCCAGGAGATTTCGCTGTTGCCGCGCCACAGGCATATGCATTGGTGAGTGAGTTTGCATTCACGACGTTGGCTGTGGCTTCGTCCAGAGTGCTCTACTCGTCTCCCTTCCGATGCATTTATGATGAGTTAGTGAAACTCCGACGAAACGGGTTGTCACAGCCCGTCGTTTGTTTTCCTCGTCTCCCTCTCTGCCTATGGTTTACCGGACAGCTCTGTTTGACAATATATATGGAAAAAAGAGCCGAGTCCTCTTCCTTTTACTATGGGTCTTATCAATACCGTCTGTCACTTGTGCACAGTCCTACCTACCTACCTACCTACCTACCTGCCTACCTGCCTACCTACCTACCTACCTACCTACCTACCTACCTATCTACCTACCTACCTACCTACCTACCTACCTACCTACCTACTCACCTAACTATCACCTACCTACCTACCTACCGACCTACGTACCCACCTACCTACCTACCTACCTACCAGACTACCTGCTTACCTGCTTACCTGCCTACCTCCCTTCCACTGAGCGAATGACCGACTGACCAATGGACCGACCAGCTGACTGACGGACCGACCAACTGATCGAGTGAGCGAGCGACCGACCGGCCGTTGAATTGCCAGTCCTCCTGAGCCAAAGTTGAGGGCACTGGGAAGGATGAGACAAATCTGTGAGGGGCCTAAAACTGCTGTGTCACAGGACCTGTGCTGAGCCTATCTACGGCCAATGAAAAATGGATCAGGTATTTCCCAGGCTGTTGGGAGTACTGGTGGTTTGAGCAATAACCTGTGGCTGGTTAATGTGTATTTAACCATGTTGGAGAGTTCTCATATGGAGCCTGCAAGACCTGGACACATTGCATGCTCTTGCTCTTTCCGTGAAGCTTGGGAGAAATCTTCATGAACCTGCCCATGTGATGTCAGCATGGAGTAGTGTCGAGTCCCACTAACCATGTGGTTGATACCACTTTGCAGCTGCCCCCCACACAACAAGGACGACACACACAAGTTGAGAGATGGTCCAAATTACAAAAGAAGAAATAGAAAAGAAAAGCAAGAAAGGAGTGTTATGTATCCAGTTGCACTGAATTGTCGAAAAAGAGAGTAGGTGAAATTGGACAGTTACCTAGGCTACTGGGGCCGTCCGGTCATGCAGCACGTACCAGGCGTCCGGGCAAGTCGCTGGGGGGGTCTGACGCCAGGGGTCCCCGAGAATGGGAAGAAGTGGGGTCAATTTTTGTTTCCTTTCTTTTTTTGGGCGGTGGGGGGTTTCTGTGCATGCCCAGAGGAGCCCAAGTCCGGGCTCTTTTCTTTTTTCGAGTGTTGGCTGTCAAGGGGGCAGAAGGGGGGTTTATAAATTGGTCTTAATGAGGCTAAAGGGGTGTAAAATGGGGTGCTTTAGTCTGATTCTGTTATTTTCTTTTTTATCTTCCGTTCCGTGAGGAATTCTGATGTGACCCTCAGTCCAAAGTCTTTTGCATTGCATTGCGATTCTACACAACATTTTTTGTTCCCGGATTCCTCCCCCCCCCCTTATTTTGTGCTGGTGCTGCCCGGAATCCTGCCTGGGGGTCATGCAGGGGTCAGGCACAAGTTGGGTGCCTGGGCGTCTGGAGTAACATCCTAGAATGTTTTACATAATACATACTTTACGTCAAGGCAAAGAGAAAAAGAACTTCAAGGAGGCCTTTTCCCGTTTGCTGGCATGAAGGGAGGCTCGATACAGCGTTCATTGCATTGCTGTGTCCGTTCTGCTGACAGTAGTTATGCTGTGTGCACATTCTCTGTATGAGCTCTGTGCCACTGCTTTTTTTTTTGTTTTCTCTTTTCGTTGGTGATTGTCTCTGCAATTGAAGGCTACTTTTCCTTTTTTGATGTTTTTCCTATTCTGTTTTGTTTCCCGACGAGTGGACCTCAACTGCCAAAGGATTCTCTCTCCCTCACTTGTTTGATCTCATGTCTGCCCCTGCCTTGCCACAAAGGCCACATGGCAGTCTTCATATCTGGTGTCCCTGTTCGATTCATAGTAACTTCATACAAAAGTGCAGGGGTTTATGGGGGGCGACTCACTGTTTGCGTGTTTGTTTTCCATTCTTCAATACCCCTTTGTTTATTCAGGGTGGGGGACTAACTATGGCTGCTTGTTTCCCTTCTTTATTTAATACCCCTTTATTTTTTCTGGGTGGGGGACTAACTGTGGCTGCTTGTTTTTCTCTTTAATACCCCTTCATTTATTCTGGACCTCCAACAAGCCCCTGATTGCACTGTTTCCTTCCTCCTCCCTCGCCCCCCTCTCCCGCACCCCCTGCTTTCCCCTTTCCCTTCCTTCCCTCTTCTCTGACATTGTGTTATGCACAGCCCTCACATGGTTCCACTGGTTTGGATGTTTCAATGTTTCCTGGGGTTACGGACTGCTTTCGAAAACCTGTTGCCTACCTTGATGCACCATTGACGAACACCCCAACTCACGGACACGCGCTGACCCTTTCCACACATGCGACACACATCTATCTTCTCAACAGGTGGGAATGGCCGCCATGTTGGCGGGGGTCTGCTCTGTGCCTATTACGTCTGTCCTGCTGCTTTTTGAGTTGACGAAGGACTACAGGATCATCCTTCCGTTGATGGGTGCTGTTGGGCTTTCCTATTGGTTCGAATCAGCAGCGAGATCATGGCCCGGTATGAAGCTCGAATCTGGTGGTGGGGGCCATACCACTCAGGCATCTGGTGCGGGGCAGTACCGGCGATTGAAAAGTGCTGTGAACACACGCCGTGGAAGGGCCTCCATGGCATGGAAGTCTGGACATCAACTGGATACGGATGATGATGATGACATGGAGCTTTGCCTGTCGGATGGAGCATTTGGTGTTGCTGGTGCAGAAGGCTTGACAGAAGAACAGATGATGGAAGAGCTGAAGGTGAGAATGCAAACTGCAAACTGGTCAGTGATGGCAGTCGAACAGTCAAAAATCTTCCTCGTTACCCATCCACTTGTTGTTCTCTTCTCCTTCGATCTATCTGGCAGTGTAGTTAGGTAGTTACTCTCGGGTCTTTAGCGGACATTCTACTCTGCTTGGAGCACTGCAGATCTGACAGATCAGAGTTGCAGAGCAGTGGTGCTCCTCAGAGTGTTAAACACAGTAGTACCTCCGCCAGTGTTGGGAAAATAGGGAGAACTGCCAGTTTTCCCAAACTCCTAAAAAACGGAGGCCGGGCACAACCTACGGCTGACATTGATAAATCTGATCGGTGGCTGTCGTTTCGTTTCGGCCGTCTAACAGGTCGGAGGCCCACCCGAGGTGCGCTATTTTCCCACTCGGCAAAGGTACTAGTGGTTTGTCCCAACTGCCAAACCGCTACCAAACCAAACCGAACCGAACCGAACCAGTCCCAACCAAACCAAATCAAGCCAAAACAAACTGCACGCAACTAAACCAGACCAAAACCAAACCAAATCAAACGAAGCCAAAACAATCTGAGCGGAACTGAACTGAGCACCAAACTAAGCATGCTGAGCCAACCTGAACTTGGCACCCAACCAAGCCGAACTGCATAATAAGACAGAATGTGAGAAACTACAATAAGCATTCAACTCTGCAGGCGTACATATCTACTCTTGGCGTAGTTGTGTACCACATCTGTGGAGGTAACGTCACTACCACATACCGGTGCAAACTGCACTACCACACACAGGTGCAAACTGCACTACCACATACCGGTGCAAACTGCACTACCACATACCGGTGCAAACTGCACTACCACATACCGGTGCAAACTGCACTACCACACACCAGTGCAAACTGTTGAGCATGGGAGACTCTCAATTGTGTGCGCTAACTCATGCTGTTGCGAACTGTCAAGGAGGCAAGGCTCTCAACTGTGTCCACTAGCGCGTACTGCTACCGACTATCAAGGACGCATAACTCTCAATTGTGTGCACTAATTTCGTGGTCGAGGCTTTAAGGATCACAGAAGTCATACATCTTTTGGCTGGGCTACCAACTGGGCCATCGGGTCAAGGGCCAGGCAAGTTCGCCGGAAAAAAAAAAGAAACAAGAAAAAAATTTAACCTGAAAAGATTTATCTTATGCGGAAGAATAAATTAGACATCTTTTTGAAGTCCATTCTTTGCTCAGTATATAGTATGTACTGCGCCGTCAGAATCCAGAACTTCATATCAGTTTCCAGCAGGGCAAGATTGGCGAGTTGGGCATCCCGGGACCCGGATCCTAAAATAAACATCTTTTGCCTCAGGGTCATATGCCGAAATTCTGTACCATATTGAAAAGATATNCCCCCCCCCTTAACCCATCTTTTGGTAATCGCAAATGAATAGTATTCGCAGCCCTAAGGTTGCGGTATGGTGGGTTGCTGCATCTATCTCAAGGTGGCATGCATTTTTGGGGCGGGCGAGTGCCCTAACAGGGGTATAGCGGGGGCGGGCGACTGCCCTAACTGGTCCTTTGCGTTTTTCCAGAGGACCGATAAGTATTTGCTTGCCACATGTCTACCTTCGAGACTCGAAGGACTGGTCCTACCTTGTGACTGGAGAGGCGCAAAAAGGGGCCCGAGGTCTTGGAAGGGTGGAATTTATTAGGCCGCCTGATCTTGAAGATCTTCCGGTGGCGAATAGGCTTGCTTGGTCACAGGCAGACGGCAGCTTGTTGTAAATAAAATGTTGAGGGTGCCTACTTTGCAGATTTCTTTTGGTCTGAACAACTGTCGAAAAAAATTGAGAAAACTCAGGAACATAGATTGAGAAATGATCTTTCCAAAAAGAAATTGAAAGAAATAAAAACAAAATTTCTTCAGGGAAAAAACAAATGATGGCGAGAATGCATCTTTCCCTCCCTACTGCTACCGGTAGGCCCCCATTATTTTGGCTCAATGGGTGAGGTTCAGAATTTGCAGCCCCACGGCTGCGGTATGGTGGGTTCCTGGCGTCCCGCTTCTGTTTTCGTATCCCTGCAGCTGCTGTATAGTGAGTTCTGGTGTCTGTGTTCACAGCCCTAACACTGCAGTATAGTGGGTGCCCGCATCGGAGTCAAGGTGGGGTGGAGGCGGGTGACCGCCCAAAAAGGGGTATAGGAGGGTGAACGTTTACGATGACTGGTCCTTCACGTTTTTGTGGATGACCGACAGGTAATCCGTGGCAGTACCAGTACCTTCTAAATTCAAAGGATTGGTCCTTGGTTTCCCGTGGACCCTGGTTAATCGAGAATGGGAACGGAGACCTCGGGACGAGTTTTCTGCAGGGTACGTATAACGGCCATGGAAAATGCTCTGCGCTTGTGCCTATGAATTTGTGGGAGTTTTGGGTAGTTAGAGGTGCGCCAGCCGTTTGTCATTTCGAAGAGATGCATGCAGAAAGGGAACGTGTTTCTCTCTCCCTCTCTCTCTCTCTGTGAAAAAAAAAAAGAAAACATGCGCCCTTAGGGCCCGCACCCCCGGAGTAGACATTGTTCCTTGTCCCAATATTGACCAATCGATTATGTGCATCAATAAATTCACCCCCTGCCTCCTGACAAATCCGGCAGAACGGGGAGGGGGACAGAGAGGGGGGGCGGGGGGGGGTTGTGAGTGACACTCGCACATGCTCCAAAGAGACTGCAAAGTTATGCAAATAAGAGAGATGGATGAATGGATGGATGGCGGGGGAGGTAGTGTTATAGGGGGAGGTGGCCCGCGGGGGTGGCGTGGGTAGGGGGGGAGGTTGCGCAATGGGGGTTATAGCCAGGCAGTGAGGGAGATCATGGGCACGACGATGAGTGGGGAACAATGAACGGTGATTGTGCTTCTTGAAGCATGACGAGCAAATAGTGCTTCTTGAGGCTTGGCGGCAACAAAAATGCGGGTTAAGGACGACGGCGATGAGCAAACTACAGTGTCGGACACTGGGGGGCGCAACCGAGTCCCACGGGCATTCAGATTCGGATGCCTACACGAAGTGGCTGTGCCCAAACAGTACTACCAGGCCACAAAATTGCAGCCTTAGATCAACGGCTGTGACGTCCAGATATTGGCAGCACTCCCGGCCTGCCTGCAAGTGCCTGGCTACAACCCCATTTTCAATTTGGCGCTCAGGCTGCCCAGCATCCTGCTTGGCCGGGCGGCTGGGCAGGTCAATTGGTGCTTCCGAGGTGCCCTGAAAGGTGTCCTAGATTTTTTACTGCTACCAGCAGGCCCAAAAGTTAACCTTTGGGTCAGTGCTTCTGGCTTGGGAAATGCACCAGCTTAGTAACTTTCCTTTGGGGGGCGTTCGTGGTGTAGACCATCTGTACGTTTCCCAGCCTTTGGGGGTCAGGCTGGCTTCCGCACGCTGTTGATGAATTTTGTCAACGACCTGCGAAACGCCAACAACGCCCGAAAGTTGTGGCGCGTGCACAGCCGCGCCGGAGCAATTTTCCTGTGAAACTTACTGGTGGCTTACGTATCTCTATCGCAATAAATATCTAACCGTGGAACGTTGGTGTGGCTGCTGCTTGCAGGTGGAACAAGTGATGTCAACGAATTTTGCGACTGTTAGCACCAGTGCGTCTTTGAAGGAAGTCATCGCTGCCATTTTCTTTGTAAGTTTGTGACACAAGGGGTTGATCTATGACAACCTATGTATATGTATTATGTACATATATCATGTACAAGATCTCAATGACTATGTGGGTGGGTGTATCTGCGTCGTGTGAAGGATTCAATTGTCATTGGTTGTATGTATGTGGCTTCTTTTCTCCCAGTTTTGTTCGTGCTGATGCCGAAAGCCTGTCAATTGGGCACAATAAGCCAGTCGATACCCAGGTTGTCTGAAAACCCGGCTATGGAATAGCCATTCGCGCCTCCTTCGCTGTTGAATAACTCACTAATTACCCAACCTGTCAATGGTGTAATTAACAATTCCAATATCCAGGGGTACAGTTCGACATCAGAATATTAAGATTGTCTTTCGCTGGGTAGCACGGAGTACATGTACACGGGTTTCATGTACACAAGTACATATACTCCCGTATGTGAGTAAATATTCCCGTTGGCGTACTCCGACCGTCCTATGCATGGGAGTACGTTTTCTTTTTTTTCCTTTTCAAAAACAACAACAAAAAAAAAAAAACACAGCCCCTTCTATTCTGGGGGGCATCAGTCCGGTTGCTTCTCACCGGCAAGCATGTGTTTTTTGGAACTAAAAGGGCCTTTACCCGATGTAGGCCTCAGGCCTTGTAAAGGTAAAGCAGCATGAAAAGGTATCTTGCCAGGGCTCAGAAACGTGAAAGCAGGTCAAAGGTCAAATTCTCTATCAACGGGCACATCCAAATCTAAAGCAAAGGTCATTGTCAAAGGACTTACCTGTTCACCAGAAGATGTGCATGTCATGTCTGTTCGGGTAAGGGTGTGTCTGTACGTGCATACAGTGTACCTGTTCGTGCAAAGGAAAGTGTCTGTTCAGGCAGTAAAGGTGTCTGTTCGTCTAGAGTTGTGCCTGTTCGAAGGTAAAGTCACTAGGTACAGTCCCAGTTCTGGTCTGAGTCAAGGGGTCAGTCCAGATCCAGACTTTCAAGTCCAAATCTAGGCCGAGAGGCCTCAGCAGCAGTTGAACCTCATTGGGACTATACTGGGACACATGCAATGCAGGGTCTGGGACAAAGGAAAGGCTGAATTGAGCCAATACAGACCCAGCGAGGAGTATAAAGGAAGCTGCCAGCCTCATTCCTCGCCAGATCTCCACTGGCTGTTTCTGCGTGGAAGTGCTGGAGCACTTGTGTGCTAAGTCAGTAGGAGCAGCGCTGGAGGAAGCAGATGCGCTGAGTGAGGGAAGAAGATTGCACGCTGGAAGTAATGCAGCCATAGCTGCCCAGCGAGTTAGCACTAGTAGTAGAGGGTTATTGTTAGTCAGCTATGAGTAGTATTCAGAGTAGATCCTCATGAGTGAAGAGTGTGTATGCATCATAGGAGGGAGGAGGAGACAGGCAGAGAGTGTTCGTTCAAGGTTTGGCTATGGAAAATACTTACCTGAGTTGAATGTGAACTGCTGAGGTGGCGCTGATGAGTAGTGACCACACTGATGACTTGGAGACAGTCTGCAGATGTAGCGCTGATACTTTGGAAGTCATATTGATGAGTTGACAAGAGATTTGTGTTGCGCTGATGAGCGCTGGACTCAGGGGAACTTTGAAACACTTTGTAATCATATCTTTGATAATATAAGCTGTGAAACTCGGTCCTCTTCTCATCTACCTTTGTCTATGACTCGAGACTATTGATCATGATGTGTGAGAATGATGCATGACATGTACACACTTGCGTGAGATGGTCCCCAGGACCCATGCAGAACAAGCAATTGGGGAGATTAGACAGATCAGAAAGTCATCCTATCCAAGCAACGGGGGAGTACGTTTTTTTTTTTTTTTTGGTATTTAACTTAAACTTTAAACAAATTAAACTTGAGTTTGTCTACGAATTTTGAGATGTCTCCCAGGCAGAAGTTGTTTGTATTATTAATTTATTATGTTGCATATTACAACTCAAAAGGAAGACAATGCCATTCAGTTGCAACTGAAATGAAAGAACTCGGAAGGAGAAATTCTGAAATAGACAGAGGAGGAAGAAGAAACAAGAATGGAAGAAGAAGAAGAAGAGGAAGAAGAAGAAGAGGAAGAAGAAGAAGAAGAAGAAGAAGAAGAAGAAGAAGAAGCAGAACACCGGCAAAGACCAATGTCAATCCCCCTTCATCTCGCCACCATCTCCAACCTCCAATTACTTCTCCAGTTTCTTCTTCTTAACAATAATAATAAAATAAAATAATAATAAAAATGGAAGAACGAACCAGAAGCAATGTCCAAATCCTCTCCTTACTGTCAGCCGCTCAAGAGGTCCGCCATAGCCATCTCCTACACCTTCCCCCTCCTTGACCGAGCAGGCTATGGCGGACTAACAGAGTGAAGCTCGGATGTTCAAAGGACAACACAAAGCTAATGTGTCCCTACTAATATGGCCGCCATGCCTATCACTACCCCCGAAGTCTTCCCTGTGGGGACCACTCTCAACTGGGGGCCTTCCAGGTGCAGCGCCAACCAAGTGGATGAAGATGCAGTCAACCATAGCCAGGTAAGTACCCCCGTCGCTCTCCTCCTTGCTCACCGTCTTCCGCCGCCGCCTCCTACTTCCTCGGAGTCTCCTGCTTGGTCCTCTCTGCTATAGCCAAGGTGGAGGGCCAAGCCTGCCCTCTTACGCTGAGCCCCTTTCTTCCACCAACATGACGGCCAAAGTCCCATGCTGCAAATGAGGAAGAGCTCTTCATTCTCTCCCTAGGTATACCGGACTACTGCCTATTCGGGTGGCGACTTTCCAGGCCGTGCGACCTCCCGAAGCACACGGAAACTCATCAATCACGCCCACACACGTTCATACTTTCTGATTTATCCAATGTGCCTGGGCCAGATAAATGCAAGAGATTCTCCTACGACGGTGGATTGAACATGTACTGCTATGTCGATACGTCTCTCACCCAGAAATGTGAGTATGCCTTGAGATTCTCCCGCTTGATGCTACGGTTTCGCTATGTTACGACTCTTATGAGTTGAGATTGACCTGAATTAAACTAAGTT